ACACACTGCCTGTGCGTCCCACTGCCCGCTGTGCCACTCATACCACCGCCTTCATCCCACCTCGAGCGTGATACACAATCAGGATTAATGGATAGCGAGGGTCAAAGGTGAAATCGTAGCCGTCCTCCCTTTCTCGTCTCTCCGACTCTCTTTGTATTTTTTTGGGTCAAGTGTAGCATTGCCCTAGGCCTAGGCTAGATCCTATGTCCGCGCGCGCGGCTGTGTGCATCTGCCTTCCTCTCCGCCCGTGTGAGTGTGTGTGTCCATCACTTGCGTTCTTTGGGTTTCTCTTGACACACTCCACTGCTGCGGTGTAGACTGAGTTCGAACTTCGATGGGTCATCATGAAAATATTGACTGTCTTGTAAATGAAGCGTGCTTGAAGCCGAAGTTACCGTGCTTAAAGGCGTGTAATTTATATAGTAAAAATTCGGTAAGAGCCGTTTAGCGGGCCAGAGTCCGAAACGTGCTTTAAGCCGGCGTGCTTAAAGCCGGCACGGACTGTACAAAATAGTTACATTCTTCCATGAGAAGCAGTTGTTAAGTGTTAGCCCGTCTCTGTCTTTAAGTTAAAGTGCATTCCTCTGAACAACTCCAAAGTTAGTCTATTTTTCTAAAAATTTTCATTGAAATGATTCTGAGACCCGACAGCCAGAGAAACAGTAATATAAATGTATATTAACTAATATGAGACAGTGTGAAGAGCATAATATGGGCAAAAAAAGCCAGGGTTTGACCAAACAAAAATCAATAACCACAGGGATTTTGTAAAAGAGGACACTAAATAACAAGGTCACAGAACACAACAAAAATTGACTTACGCCACACACACCCAGCAACCTAGACTACTTTTACAGAAGTCCCTTCATTTAAATGCGTAATAACAATTTAAAGAGCAACGTGCAGAAAAAACAACAGCAACACAACAGCAAAACCTTGTCTCAGTTAACCTGTATTTGCTTCTCCTTACAAAAGCAAAAGCTGCTGGCAACATAAGACAAGGACTCAAAGTCACTGCCAGGAACGTTGCCTTTGCACACAAAGAGGTATGGGGGCTCTCGCGGCATAGAGGTTAAGTTATTCGCCTCTCATTCAAAGGTCCCGGGTTCGAATCCGGGTAGTTACGGAAAATTTTTATTCTTTAAAAACTTTCTCTTTCACCCCCTTTCCTGCTCTCCAGCAATGTTCTGTCGTCTGCTTTCATCTCCACCATCTGCCCCCACCCCTCTCACCTCCTTTGCCCCCTTCTCTGGGCCCCTCACTCTTTCTGCAGCCTTTCTACTGCTTCTCCTTGGCCTCTTCTTACTGCTGTCTTTCAGCCACACCCCTGATCTTCTGGTAGGAAAGATTTACACCTAGCCTTCTTGGACAAGGGTGAAAAATCTCGGAGGTTCCGTGATTTTGGGGGTTTTGGGGGGTTTTTTTTGGTAAGTGTTTTACGGCACTCGCAACTGCATAAGATCATATGGGCGCGCGGGACACACCTAATATTTTTCAGATGGTAGGAAATTTTGAAATTTGCCCATGGGGCAGCCGAAGCCTACTCTTATCGACTTTAGACCACCAAGGGATCTTTAACGTGCGCAACTTGCACACGGGCCCTCCTAGATTTTTCGCCCTTGTCCGAGAAGGTTAGGTGTAGATCTTTCCTACCAGAAGATCAGGGGTGTGGCAGAAAGACAGTAGTAAGAAGGAGACAACGAGTAGCAGTAGAAAGGCTGCAGAAAGAGTCAGGAGCCCAGAGGAGGGAGCAAAGAGGGTGAGGAGGTCCCGTGTGCAAGTTGCGCAGGTAAAAGATCCCTTGGTGGTCTAAAATCGATAAGAGTAGGCTTCGGCTGCCAGCAAAATTAAAAATTTCCTGCCACCTGAAAATATCTAATGTGTGCCGCGCGCTCATAATGACCGTAAAACACCCCCCAAAAAAAGAAAAAAGAAAAAGAGGTATGATGTTGCCTTACAGATTTCAAATTCTGTCTTACCATCCATCATAATTTGCATACCGTAAGTCTTGTGACGTTGTTTGTTTGTTTAGTACAAGGTTTTACATAATAATATATTATATGTATAACTAATTATATACCCAGGGGCGAAGCGTCTATATAATCAAATAATCACTGCTTCCCTTCCTAATTTTGAAACATTGTCGCTGTGAAATTCATCCTTAAACGTAAACCTCTTAAATTAAATGTAAAAAGACGTTCGTAATCAACAATGAACAGTATGCCTAACATTCAAAACGGTTTCACGGCCACAGAAATAACCTCCTCACCCCTGTCGGGCCACTCCACAAGCAGTCGCAAGCTTTGATTAAGTAAGCTTAAAGTGAGTCTGGAAGAGTCTACCAATAGAGTTGAAAGGAACATGTACATAGCAGTCCAAGCTGTTTCATTGCCACATATACCCTGTTCACCCCTTTGGGGCCACAGTTATAATCAATCTCAAGCCCTGATTATGTATGCTAACGAACGCTGGTCGAACCTCACAAATGTGAGGGGAACTAACTCCTAATAATCTCTTGACTGCTGCGTGTGCTTGTTTTTTTTTCCTCGACTTTTTACCGTCCTATAATCAGATCGTGACCTCGATTATGACACCAGCTCCTGGCCGCGAAAGGCTAACAAAAACAGCCAAATGTGAAATTTAAAAAATGATAATTGTCATGTTCTACCAAAGAGTTAGACTTACTGGTAGATCTATAACATACAGTTCTAGTACTGACATCTCTGCTTCTTTGTTTTGTGTTTATGTATTCACATCTAAAGTTAAATATAATTTTAGTTGGAACTAGTATTTAATAAGATACTTCCCCGATTATTTTGGCGGTTGAACATACAATATGAATTCCGGATTTGTTTTCATTCACAACTCAGAGTCGGCGCCTCGAGTAAGATTCTTGTATGATATCGACAGGCCATATCTGGTCCCGTTTCACTTTGATTACCCTGTCAAACAAGTCAGCCTTCGCCCCTGTATATACCCAGTTGGAGAATAAATGATCCACATCTCTCAACTCAAAGATGTAATTGTAATAAACATCTTAAAGCTATCCCATTTTATCTCACATCCATCAAGTCCCTCAGTTCAACTACTTGTTGCTTATATTCTCATCACATCCTGATTGTAGTTTATATTACTCCCATTTTTCATTGTTCAAATTGCTGTTACTCAAATCTCTCGGTGTCATAAAATCAATTCACACCACTTACAAAACTCACACTCACATCTCTTATCACTCTTTACATCAATCATACATGTACAGCACCCCTTATTGAAGTTTGCATCATTCACTTCTTTTACTGTTATTTTAGTTTTAGTAGAGCTTTTACAGCGCTCGCAACTGCATAAGATCATAATATGAGCGCCAAGGGGTGGATGTCAACAGAGAAGTTCGTACAGGGAATCAGACTTACTCTGCCCACCTCTCTAGCTTCAACGGCACAAGGTCTGCTTCGACTATCAAGGCACCCCGGAAATAGTGCGTCATAAGAGTGTGACAAACATACAAAAGAAGTAGAGGAAAAATGACAATAGTGTAAGGATTAGGAAAGAAAAAGCAGCAGTTCCCTGTTGTAGATCGGGCACAGTTATGAGCGTGGCATTGATGAATCAGCCCATTTAAAATTCTACTGTGCATGAACGAGAAATGTCCCCCCTTTGGGAATGGCATAAAGACACTTCAGTCAGTGGCACTGCCCGGGGGGTTTACTGTTATTTACACCAGTCTCATGCATTGTATTTCATTGACTTACAACACACTATTCACTTCTCTACTTGCAGTTTACACAGTTCGAAACTCTCAATGCATTATACACATTTTATTCTCTAAAGGTAGTTTACATCATTTGTAATTTTCATTCAAGCCATAGCTACATTACTGACTTATTTCATTCTTGTTTATTCGGCATCCACACCAAACGAGGTACCCCATTCACGTTACCAGTATCCATCATTACCTAGTCCACATCTCCAACTTTTATCCATCCTCATTTACATAATTCACATTATGCATAGTTATTTATATAATTCAGATATCATTCACATCAATTTCACATCATTCATATTATCTCATTACTACTTATATCATTCAAGTATTTCCTCATAATAATTCACATTACATGTACATGTTTTACTGATTTTGCATAATATAAACATCACTTGGAGTGTCATGCATAAAGCATATCGCCGGCCTTGAGATAAAACCGACAAACCCACAAAATATCAACTTTTTCAAAATTGTCCCTATTGATAGTAAATTGTCCATTTCTTATGCTTAATCAAAGACATATCAGACTTTTGTCTAGAAATGTCTATATAACATTAGAAATAAAACTGTAGAACCCGACATCCATCGAATTTTAGTGATGCACGGGGTCGGCGATATAAGGGCTTTTAAGATATTCAAAACAAAATTAACCCAATTAAATTTATGCAATGTCCTCATAACTTCACGACAAATACTGTTCTCTTTTACTATTTGCTCATTAATAAAGATGTCAATTTGCCTTCATTTGTAGGGCTTTGCGACACGGTAATGTTGTTTACTCTGATCAAACAGTATACACGCTTTTGCGCTTCAATTGGAAGCTATCAACAACACAATACAGCAGACCTCGCATCCAGCAGCACATGATTCAACAGAACTCAAATAAAGGAGAAGGAACCCCAGAGCAATACACATTTTGTCAAGCAAATCCTAAAAACAAGCAACAAAATGTTATACAGTCCAGTCCATTTATAACAGCCTCTGTTATTACAGGAACTTGGATATAACAGTGATAAATCAAATCCCTGTTTTTTCTCTATAAGTGTAAGTAATATGAACCTGGCTTTAAAAGGGTTCAATTTGCACACACTCGGGTATAACTTGCTTTCGATCCGTCAAATTATTAAAATTTGTCTCTACCAAAACATTTCGCCTGTTTGTATGATCGCTTGCCTAATCACAAACTTTCAAACACATACCCCCCCCCCCCCCCCCCCCTCCCCATTATGTTGGGGTCACTGATCGATTCCATCTTGGTGTCAGCAAAACAGGCCACTGGAAAAGGATCTGCGGTAATCGAATATATTACAGTAAGCTGAAGATGTAATGGTACATGTAGTTTCCCTTGATATCGGTTATAACAGGACTCGCTTATAACAGGGAAAAACTGCCGATCCCGTCTGTCCTGTTATATCTGAGTTTGACTGTAGCTTGTCTTAAAAGAAGCCTTCACTGATGCATACTTGAGCTTCTATGGTCTCTTGTGTGACTTCCAACTTCTCAGGTGTATTCATCCAACACAAAACCTATGCCAAGGATGAGGCATCAACAGGGCACTCAGAGGGGGTGACAAAGGAAAGAGGATCGGATTTGTACCACTTCCAGGTTTTGTCAAGCACTTGCTTTGTCGAAAACAAATAAATCTGTTCTATCTGATCTGAGAATCAATTTCATCAACTGTCTCACTATGTGTGCCAAAGGACTAAATGAAGCCCGAAGTTCTTGACTCTAGGTAGACATTAAACAGTTTAAGAAAATTACCTAAACTAAACATGTTCCGAACATTGCTTAAAGCCAGCAAAATACTTGTTACTAAAGTAGCAGTTACCGCCTTAGTCTCGTTTCACAGGTTTGCTATGACATTATACACAATTAGTTGACTCCCCCTTTCAATCCAAAGTGAAGCTGATTGAGGAAGTAGAAAAAATAGGCATAATAACCAAGATAAAAGATAAATCATATTATGCAAGCATTGTGGAGCATTATCAGTATCTGTCAGGTCCCTAACCACATACAACCTAAAGTGTTTTTTTTTTACAAACATCCAAATAACTGCTTTATTTTAAATTGACCTTATCTGACCTTGCTGTTCTCAAGCCCTGGGTGTGATCTAACTTTTTAGTTCGGGCTGTACAAATTTGACAGATCTGAAGTTACTTGTTAGAGGGTGGTAATTTCTTTTTAAGTCACTCAACCTATATCAACCAACCCCTAGTTCTAATAGATGTTTTAAAAAACCTCTTTCTGCTTTGACATTTTGGATGCACCACATCTTACCCTCTTTTTATACCCTTACCTGAAGAGAAGGGTATAGTATAATAAAACAAACACCTCAAACTTAACTTGAGCCAAAACTAAAAGGTAATAATTCAACGTAAGTGAATTTGGACACAAACATAGCCCAAGTTCCACGCATGACTTTTTTGAGTGCAATACCTGCTGCAACACTGGAGTCTCTGCCTTCATCTTGGAAAACTGGAAACAATTAAAAGCCAGCTGGTGTAACACAATGTGACAGTGGAGCCGTTCCGCATCAAACTGCCAGGGAGAGATGTAAAGATATCAGAAAATGTAATTAGTTGGGAGCAAGCGATAGTAAAGAAATTTAACCAAAAATAAAAACCCCGTCCCCTGCCATTGTGAAACTTTAAATGAGAGCTATCAGATAAGGATAAAATCTAATTAATATGACATCATTAAAACATTATCACCAACTATTGAGTTTTAACAAAGTGTTCCATCAGGATCGGGTGAAACCAAAAAATTCTCCATAAATCAATTCAATTTGAATGTATCTCTGTCATTTTTCTGTTTTCCTTTGTTTTAGCAAGCGTCTAATTGCACTTGCAACACAATTAGGTTATATAAATGCCGGAAATGTTACAAGAGAGTAACAAACAAAAAAAAGAAGGAGGGGTAAGGACAATAGATGTTTGATGGGATGATAGGAAAGAAGGAGCAAACCACACCAGAGCACCCGCCAATCAACCACTTAAATGCTTTCAACCCCCCCCCCCTTTTTCTCTCCAAAATAAATTATCTAAAGCCTACAGATCACTGTATTGCAAAAATAAATAAAGAAACACAATCATGTTCAATAAAGCTTCTTTTTTTACAAGGCACGAAGATATTGGTTTGGTCCCAAAACTGCAGATAATTAAAAAAGGGTTCATTTCATCTTTCTACAGTATCCTACTCCAACCGGGTAGGCCATGACAGGCAAGGTCTAATCCACTCAACCCGGAAATTATTTAAATTGACTCTATGTCAGTGTAAAGGATTTAGATCTACAATCAAGTCATCTTTGCCTGCCCAAGTCAAAAGCAACGACATCATTACACCAATTGATAATTTCAAATAAATTTCGCACATTAAGGGACATTTTTACCAAATGTGAGGCAGCGTGGTGGAATCAGGCTCTCGTCAAAATAATCAAAAAGAAGAAACTTGCATTTTTCTGCAGGTTTGTGAATTTTTATTAAATTTTTGTCTTTTGGCTCAACACCTTTCATGCCCATTAGAGAACTCACTTCTGAGGGATTTTTCTGAAAAACGTTGATTAAAGACACAGAAAATGTAGATTTTCAGTTACCACGGACTCTTAAGCTAAGCAAATAGCTAACCTTTAGCGGCCATTTTCTCACTAATTTTACCTCTGAAAACAGGTGACCCCCCACCTCCTTCTTTCGTAAATATCTCGACTTGTATTCAAGATAAATGGATACTTTTTCATCCAAATAAAGACTAGTAAACAAGCTTTAAGATGATACAAATAACTCTACATGCCCAAAAATTGACGAGAGCCTGATTCCACCACGCTGCTTCACAAATTCAGTTCTGAGTTTTGTCATTCCTATTTTGACCATATGTGAGCAAGAGTAGGCCTACTCTGAGATACTCTAACAAGCAATAAACAAAATGCCAGCTTGATAAATCTAAATGTACTTGTTTTTGCGATATTTATGTTGAAAAGCAAGGAATTCGTGGTCTTAATTGGTCCCTTTTAAGGGCAAGCGGGTTAACCCAGATTTCGGAGGTTTCCTGAAATCTTAACCTACACCAAAAGTGGGCATTGCCCTACCAATAGGAGAAGTTTGGATTCATTGGTGTGTATATTTGTTTGGTTATAGAGAAAAATCTCCTAGCCTTTTAAAGAAACTGAAGAGGGGGCAAAAACTTTACCTTTGATTTTCTCAAAACAGCATTTTGCGGGATAGCCCCCTTGGGCTTAAAAGCGACCAATTGTGCATGCCAAACTATGACAATCCATTGTGATACCTGAATAAATTACGATGTTGTACCTTTGAAGATACAAACGTTGTTGAACACAATGCTATCATATTTTTGTGCAGCCTTAATAAGGTCAACTTTCTGAAACCCTTTCTTCAGTGCAGAAATGTAGAATTGCGTTTGGTACAGCCGCATTCTAACAAAATGGGAGAAGTCATATCTATCTGAGAGATGAGGTCCATTTCATAAATAAGTGTCCCTTTCTCATAAAACCGAGGGTATTCAGGGTAGCCTTGCCAAACTTGGTACACTTCTACACCAACATTTTCAAAAAGTCCCATTAAAATTTGAAGGCATCTTGTTAAACGAGTGCCGAATTCTGGTGGTACATGGAGTAGAATGGCCGGCAAAATACAAGATTCAACAGTGCAACACACATGTTCAAGATATGGCACTCGTGTCATTATAAAGTATTCTGTTCTGTTGGGTAAGACTACTCCTCAGATTCACAGCGATCTTTTTACAGTCTTGGGAGCAAATGCACCTTCTGTTCAGACAGTTAGGAATTGGGCAAAAGCTGTTGCAGAGGGTCGAGAAGAGATGGAAAATGAAAGTCGTCCTGGTTAGCTAGTCACAGCATATTATGGTGATGCCAACATCTCTAAAGTGCTCACTTCACTGAACGATGACCAGAGGAAAACATGCGAAGAGACTGGAAATGAAACCAGTGTCCAGCACCTCGGTATTTAGACTTCTCACCAACAAACTCGATAAGAAAAAAAAAAGGTTTTCAAAATGGGCCCCTCACTTGATGACACGGGAACAAAAGGAGTCAAGGGTCAGTTTCTCTCTGAATTTCAAACGGAGATTTCAAACTGAGCACAACACATTCCTGGATCGATTCATTACTGGTGATGAAACTTGGGTTTATTTCTGGGACATTGAGAGACAAAACGCCAGTCTGCCGAATGGAGAGACATTGATGAACCACGTCCAGAGAAAGCGCACCGCAAACAAGTGGCTATCAAGGTTATGCACAAGTTCTTTTTTGACACAAAAGGTGTGATTCTGAGCTGGCGTGTACCTACAGGTACTACAATCAATGCTCAGTACTACAAGATGATATATTGAAAGGAAAACTCAGACCTGCCATTTGAAAAAAAAAACTCGGGCTATTGGAATCAAGAGTTGTATTCAATCACGACAATACGCCAGTTCACAACGCCCGGTGGTGACAGACGTTTTGGCAGGCTGTGAGTGGGAATTGCTGGAACATCCACCATAATATTCTCCTAACCTGGCCCCATGTCATCTCCACCTGTTCCCCAAAATGAAAGAACCCCTTCGTGGACACCGATTTCAGTAAGAGAGGACATCATTCAAGCAGCAAAAGAGGCAATTCAGAGTCTGGATAAATACACTTACGTCAGCACGTTAAGCGGCCGGCTACAGCGTATGCAGGAGAGCATTGGCATCGGTGGATGCTATGTTGAACAGAGCAGATATAAAAAGGTATGTTGTGCCAAAGGTCATCAATATAGGCCTTACTGTTTTTGTTTTCTAAAGCAGGGAAACTTATTAATGAAAAGGAGTAGTACCAATGTTTTGCATCTGTTGATATAATCATTACCATTCATTGATATGAAATCCTCATCGTTTGCGTAATCACCAGGATCGAACTGTCATTTACTTCTGCAGTTTGTCAAGTAGACCCTCACCTAAAATCACACTCTCCATAATCAAACTTTGCAGAGACTCACATCACAAGTACACACACCGCACAATGAACAAGTCAATCAGATAATGGAGCAACTCATTCAAAATACCTTTACCTGTTCATACTTAATGTAGGTTGATGAGCAATTAGTACCTCTACTAATAAACTGAACGAAATCAGCAAATAAAACTAATCAGAAAAAAAATCCAGTAAAATGATTTTATGAGTATCAACTATCCTTCAATTCATTTTGAATGACTGAGAGAGGTAACAAAAAATTTGTCCAACGACATAAAATAGATCTATGTAGAAACAATAACAATGAAGGGGAAAAGGGCAAGGCAAACAGAAAAGAGGCACTGGGTCTTGCAGTGGTCTTTTGGTGTTCACAGGGAGCGAACCTCACGGAGTGCAGCGCCCGATAAAACGTGGGTAAGGCACCACCTCGCGGATGCGATAACGGTTGAGCAGCCAGCACAAAAATCTTTCCAGGCCCAGCCCATAGCCACCGTGGGGGCAGGTGCCGTATTTTCTCTGAAAGGAAGAAACGGGTACAGTAAAAAACACAGAAAAAAATACAGGTACAAATCAGAAATTAGTTTTAGTTTTAGAAAAAGCTTTTTATGGCACTTGCAGCACAAAATTGCCAAAGATTAGGACGTGTCACTAGAGAGTAACATACAAAGAAAAGAAGGAGAAGAGATTTTGACAATAGATAATCGATAGGAGAGAAAGAAGAACAAACCACACCAGAGCAAATGTCAACTATTCGCCATTCAGTTTGGTACGTGTATTAGGTAGACAAAGTTTTGAAAGAATTTTGTTTTCCATGAGGGAAAATAGGTGGGTAATTGATGATAGAGAGTAGGCAATATATAATAATCAAGTTCATCTGAAACCCATAGATGAAAGACACACAGTTGGAAGGAAGTTTCAAACAGACCCTTTTATATCTCATCAACAGAGGAAACCACCACAACAAGCAAGAGAAGTTTTTCAGAGCAAAAGAGAACAGATAATTTTCAATAAGCTCACTGATGATGATGATGATAATAATAATAATAATAATAATAATAATAATAATAATAATAATAATAATAATAATAATAACAACAATAATAATAATAATAACAACAACAATAATAATAATAAAAATAATAATAATAATAATAATAATAATGATAATAATAATAATAATAATAGGCCTAATAATAATAATAACAACAACAACAACAATTTTTAAATGAAATTTTTTTAAAAGTTTTTTTTAAAAGTAAATAATAATAACAACAACAACAACAACAACACCACCAACAACAACAATAATAATAATAATAATAATAATAATAATAATAATAATAATAATAATAATAATAATAATAATAATAATAATAATAATGATAATGATAATGTTTTATGATTTAAATCCTTAAACTTAAAGCACACATAAACGTTCAAAGCATGAAAAACAAGTCTTGAGACTTGGGCTATTCTATGGGTGCAGAATTAATTGACACTGCAAGCAGAACACTCTTAACTTCTGCAGTTGGGGGCAGATCAATACATACTAGAGAGGGTGGTCCTGAGCATACGTGTATTGAGCACATACATTTATACATGTGACATACCTGGTCGATATACCAGTAGTAGTTCTCGGTGTTGATTCCCTTCCTTTTGAAGCCTTCCTCCAGTTCTTCCTGCTGCCAAATTCTCATGGAACCTCCAACAATCTCACCCACATTGGGCATTAGGAGATCAACCTCGCAGAAAAAGAAAAAAAAGTTATTATTGACTAATTGACTCCCTGAGTCCTGGTCATGAACATAGCCGGGATTTTGGCTTGGCCTTGGTCCCGAACATAGTCAGGACCAGGATTTCGCCCTTTTCTCCAAGGCAACGATCTTACAAAGCTATATGATATAATTTTTCTGCCAGTTGAATCATTTTCCTAACAGGAAATGCAGATTTATGAAATACATATTTACTTTTGATACAAAACTAGTTCAACTGTGGTGACCTACTAAAAGCCTACTATCTTTTCACTTCCCTAAAATTGTTATCATGAAAAAAAAAAATACTTTAAACAATCTCTGAAAACTTTGCAAGACAGTATCAAAACAATTCAGTAACATAATATAGATATCTAAACCTAGCCCCCTTCGTTTTAAGTTACAATAATGAATTTTTGGAAGGGGGGGGGGGGGGGGGGGGGTTCTGTTACATTCAGTGGGTAGACAGTGCGGTATTTTAAAACTTTGTGTAAAAATAGTTTTGCAGATAACTTAGTAGTACTATAAAAAGAAGTCATGTATCTTTATCTGAGTAAAAAATTAAGTCTATAATTTGAACATTTTCAGAACTCTTTTTTTTTTAAAAGAGTTAAAATGGCCCTTTGGAGTGGCGCCGCAATTCTATGCCGGCCAGGGTTCAGTGAGTTATTATTCAAAATGGCCTGGATATGGCTGAGCTTTCTTTTCAGTTTCCTATCTTCTTGTTCTTTAACTCAATAAAGGGAATGCACCAGATTTGCAAGATCTACTAGATTACAGTTTTTAAAAAAGGCAGGATACGAGTTGAAATCTTAAAAGGTGACATAAACTGCTGTACTACAAAGAGAAAAAACAACAACATTCCAGACACCTGTAATGGAAGAAGCATCCAGAAGAAAGGCTATAAGCTTGACTGAGACTTACAGACTCTGTTAGACGCCTTCTATCCTGACACCTTTGCGCGTAGAACGATTTGACTTTTGACGGGAGCCTGAACAGCAAAATAGGTTCGTTGAAGGTGTCTGTCATTATGCGCTCTGGAGTTTCTGGGATGTCCTAAGAGCCAAAGGAAACCCACAAAAACTTGTCACAACAATGTCAAGCGAACTTTACCTACCGCAACCCGCTAATAATAAGACTTGAATTGGTCAAAGAAAGTCTTGACCGTGTTCTAAATTAGCCTATGTTCAACACCCTTCTCCACATGATTAGATCTAGGTTATTTAAAAACTAAGGGGTCAGAGTAAAAAGACAGCAGGAAAAAAATAAAATGATGAGAACAAGATTTTAAAAACCCATTAAGCACAGTGTCTAGAAGAATTACATACGCAGTATGGGGAGGTTATTATCGTTTTTCATTGTTCAGCCAATGTCCAGATACACCTATTTACTACCTTAAACCCACGAGTAGGCCCGTTGGGTTTAAAAAAAATAGACATACTAGTTTTCAAAAACACTAGTTCCATCTAGAAAAAAAAATTCTGATTGAGTGTGCGCCTAGTAAGGTGGATCTACAAGTCAACTTACTTCTCCATATTTACATAAAGTTCCATTGTCTTTTGTAATTTTGTTTTTACGCAGCCAAGCAACGGCACTTTTGTATTCCATCCTTCTGAAAGGTTTCTTGGGAGCTTTGAAATCCTGAGGAAATGCAAAGGAAGAGAGTAAGACATAAACGCTCTTTCCTGAATATAAATGAAGAAAGCGGGGATTATGTTAGGGTTTTTACACAAAAAAAGGAAATAATGTCTTTCAACATCAATACCCTTTCAAAACGTATTACTTACTTAGTTTCTTCTCATAAAAATACAGAAGCGTTCGTACACAAACACTCCGGCTTTTGAGTTCAAGAGACTGACATTGTATACTTGCAGAATAATGTTCTTCTCAGACTGGGAAAGGAGAAGAGAGATATCAACAAACAAAAAGTAAAAAAAATAGGACTATCCACTAGCATCCCCATTGGGTACCAGCTGAGCTAACAGCACCAGTCACCTAATAAAAGAAACAGTGACAGTTCCAAATAAAGGTCTCAGATAATTGGTTTAGAAAAATACTATTCCCCATTTAGATGCCTCACTAAAAGATAGTGATCATTCAAAAACGTTCTGGTCTGTGAATAAAAACATGTTGACTTCGCAAATAGCTAGAGGCTGTTGGTGGAGGAAGTGAATTGAAATTTACAGCGAGTCTACATTAAAACAGTTAAAAGCTGCTTCGCGAGGAAGAGATACAGAAAATAATATTGAAAAAACTGCAACAAAATGCCCACCAACAACCGCATTAAGAAAGCGCATGGAATGTAAAACTAAGGGGGAAACCCACTATTCCGGGGCCCTATTTTGATACCAAATCTGAAAGGGACATATACGTAACTTAATTGGTCATTATATCAAAACAAGTGAACCTATTTTGATAATTCTTCATCGTATGAATGAACTCCCGCTAAAAAGACCTGTTTTCTGCAAATACCGAAAACTAATTTGACGTTCAAGTCGTCGTAAAAGAATGTGCCCGAGCCGCTGCCAGCGACTCACCAGAACAGCGTTTCTAATCGCAAGCTGCTGTGAGTGACTTGCCGGAGATCAGGGTTAAAACTAAAGATTCAGAACAATGTATACTTCAAGAGCAGTAGAATTTTCAGAACAAAAAAAGTCACCCATGATGAAGGATTTGGGCTAAATGGTCAACTCACAGGGTTGAGCTCATACACAATGTTGCCAAAGGGCGACTTGAGCACACGGTCCACAACATCACACACTAGGTCCTCAATCTTGTCCATGAGCTCGTCGAAGTTGATGAAAGGACACTCAGCCTCAACGTGACTGTACCTGTGGACACAGATGAGAAACCAGTGTGAGTGTGAAACAGAGTTAAAACGAAGCACACTATAATAATAGATATTATTATAATGCCAGAAAAAGCCATAGGACACATAGGCGTTATAGAACGAGGGAAAACAGTGTAGTAGTTTACACTGACTTGACGTGGCAACTGCCATGTTCCCCTGGAACCAACTATTTAAATAGAAACACAATAGGGAGGAAGGGGAGAAAACCACATCAGATTAATCAATGTTTGTATGTTTATGTTCTGGTATATCCACCCAAATTTTCCCATATGAATAAAAACAATGTTTTTATCTTTTGTATCTTAACAAAAGAGGCATAACAGCCGCATTTTTACAGAATTAAAATCACAACTTAGCCAAGCACCAGATCCCCAAGGCACTTATGTGTAGGGCACAGAGCTTGCTGCCAAGAAGGGGTATTTGCCATAAAAATGCTATTTATTATCAACAGTATTATTACTTACTCAGCAAGATTCCTGTGAGTTCGTGAGACCTCAGCCCTGTAGGACTGAGCCATACAAAACACATCACCCATAGACGGCATCACAGTCTCCAGATACAGCTGAGAGCTCTGGGTCAGATATGCCTGGGAGAGCAACCAAAAACAACATTTTGATTTACTCCTCCTTCATGAATGTGGACAACATCTAACTGAGAATGTTTTAGAATACTAAAGCATGTATGCAATCACAGGTAGCGGATTAGTCGAAAAAAAATCCCTCATTTCACCCACTAACTATTGATAGTGATCACCCATGCTGTGGTGGTGATTTTGAGATTTTTTTATAGATCTTAGAAAATGTTATAAATTCAGTAAGATTTTAAATAACCCACAATCTATATAATATAATTTCTGAAAGTCCAATGACCCATATTTTGAAATAACTGACAGCTTATAGAAAAATATTTTTGTTGTTGTGACCCTGACCTTGACTTTTAAGGTCTAGAGAGAAAATGAAATCATAACTCCATTTTTCGCCGTTGCTCAAGTTACAATACTCCTCTGAAGTGTATTAAATATGTTGCCAAAACATAGCAAACTTACTCTTCCTTTAGAAAATAAATAGTTTATGGGGTCTGTATAACCTAAAAAGGATAGCCGTGTAAAAAAAATTATGACATTGCATGTTCACAAAACCACTGCTCTAACAATACATCCCCGCACATTTACCCCCCTCCCCCTCCCCCCATATATACCACACATACATGGCGTCTTTCTGACCTCTCCTGACACTGGAACACGCTCAGGTACGTGTCTTACATGTTTGTCTACGCCACATACAAGTGTTGGTGTGGTAGAAAGCCTCTATGTGGTACCCCAAGATGATGGTATATCCAATTGAATAATCACGGTACATGTTTGTGTATCATAATCAATAGTTTAACCATATAAAAATCCTCAGAGCTGAGCAATGCACAGTCTCTTAGAATAGAGTAGATAAGTTTCGTTGTAGAAGAAAAATGAACTAAACTACATCAGCGGGGGGTTGTTTGCTCCGCAAGCGATTTCAGTGATTCCAGAGTCCATGTTAGAAAGCTGCAGGTGCAATGAATACAAGCTATTTCATTGATTTTCAATGAATTAACTAAAAAACAATATACCCCCCCCCCCCCCCCGGGGGATTTCTTCTATTTTCGGTGAATTCAAGTTTTTGTTGATTCTAAGTTCAGTGGAAGCGAGTTTCAAGGTAACTTGAAGACCAGCTGTTTATACCAAGGCTAAGACAATAAGATAGCTTAAGTCTCTCACAGTATAACCTGTACATGGCCACTAAAAAGACAAATTCTGTTCTCCTTCACTGTAATCAGTGCTGCCATGATTCTTCCAGATCCCGCCTTCATGCAGCGAATGCTGAGAAAACAGTCAACAAAACAACTTGCTGGGAAGGAAAAGAAAACAAACCTCCTCCCCAAAATAGTCGACTTTGAAGAGAGTGGAGCCCCCCTCCACCTGACACTGTACCAGGGTGGGTGGCTGAAGCTCAAAGTAGCCGCGACTAAAGAAGTGTTCCCTGAAGCAATGGGTGACCACAGACCTCATCTTCATGATCTTGGCAGTCTGAAAAATAAACAGACAGACATACAGACAAAGTGCAATTCACTACGGAAGAAACTTGAAGTAAAATTTTCAGTACTTGATTACTTGATTACTTGATCCTGGGAACAACATCATAGCTCTCCGGGCATTACCAACAATTGTCATTAGTACTGCTTAATCAATTTAGATCTATACTGAGCTATTCACTCTTAATGAAGCAGACAAGGAGACCACTCCAACTGAAAGAAATAAAAAGTGCAAATTGTACCAGCAACTCCCAAACTACAAGCAGGAACTTGTGAGAACGTGTCTAGACGCTATATTGCCACCAAGAGGTCCATATGAATCCCCCCCCCCCCCCCCGAAAAAAAGTATTTAAAAATATTTTTAAAAACTTTACCCGCGGAGATACCAATAAAAACGGTCAAAATAGAGATAGAGACACACGATTTCACAGACTTAAATCTACTTGGTCATCATCCGGATATATTGTGACAAATTTACAAATAAAAACTCTAAGTCTGAAAGAAGTTAGAGTTAGAGAGCACATGCTCTTTGTGACGTCTGTTTCGGGCGATACACGCTCTGGGGCGCTTGACGAAATTGTCTGTGATATTTTCTTGCTGAGCCTTTGCTGTACTTGGATCATGTAGCCTATGTTTTAAACTTCAGATCGTACTTCAATAAGCACCGAACATATTCTCTAGCAATAGTTAATGCAGTACTATGTCGACGAACTGACGTTTTAGGTTCTTTGCTCACAAACTCCATCACCATCGCCACGTTCTCAGGAGTGCGCATTTCCATCGGTATCCCACAGTGGTTGACTTATTGACATCTTGTTTTTATTTTCAACAGAGCCATGCGGCTTTATATCAGCCACTCACTTAAGTCAGTAGGTTATTGTTATTTTATTTGGTATTTTCTTACCATATATGGTGTTAATCCCAAACAATACACAGAAGAGATTCCATGTACGCTTCGGGGACTTTGTTTCGATATCAACGATAAAAATGCGTTGTTCAGCAGTGAACTGTATCTTTGGAGTAGCCGTGGCTGCTTCCAAGCTACTGTTGTTTTTGTTACGTGTTTCTCCTTCTGGATGGCTCAGTTTGTTTCCTGTCAATTTCCTTGTGAATTGTGAACTTTGGTGCAAAGTTATAGGCTTTCTTGCAGGTAAAGGTTTTTTTTTGTGAATCAGTAGGTACATCTGCCACGATTAATAATTTTGTCAGAAAAGGGTACAAAACAGCTCTCACTTATTCATTGTCCTGGAAAAGAACTTTTGTGTACTGCCTTGTTGTTTGTGCACTGTTTTTCCTTGCCAATACATTGACAGAGAAAATTATATATAGTTGAGCAGAAAAACCACAGAACAGGTTCCAACGAACTAACTGAAAAGAATTAAAGACGCATAACTGATCAGATAAACTTTTAAGCAAATGAACATAGTTCACGAAACCATGATTAATCATCTTTTTCATCAAATCCAAATTCTCTGGATCTATAACAACATCCACCAAACCAACGCCAAGACTACATGCAAGCGATAAAGACTTGTTATCATCAACAAAGAGAAGCGTTCTCAATACGGGGAACCTAACCTTGCGTCACCATACCAAAGATTCTCCAGTAGTGGAGAATCTTTGACCACACTGCCGTATGCCGACAAAACGCCTTTTTTATTTACAGTAGTTTCAAGAAAAAAAGACATTTTGTCAGCGTAACCATTAAAGAAAAGGTTTCTTCCGTAATTTAAATTCTAATTTATTCAAAAACTAGTTACAGTTTCACTTTGATTTTTTCCTACATGTAGGGTAACTGATCAGGCTATCAATTTAGCATATTAAAAAATTGGCACCAAAATGATAAAGAGGCGTCTTGTCAACTGACGGCAGCATCGGGGTAGTCACTAAAAAGGTTTGTTCTTACGTTTTCTCCACGAAGCATCATATGTCTGTTGTCCAGCTGTACATCAGGATGAGCTTCCTGTAATACAAGAAGAATAATTGGTCAAGGTTCCGTTTGGCATGGTCTGAATTTAACAACCTACAAAGTATTCATCTTATAAAAGTAAATATTGATAATACATCTCAATGCATTATATTTAGACTATGTGAGACACATAATTTTTTTTAGCTTTGCAGTGACGAGCTCAGCCTCTTCTTAGATTTTTTCATCCACTTTAAACAGTTTTTATTTGTCACGATCAAGGTGAGGACACTTACTTCGTTGAGTAGTTTTTTGGCACCACCTGCAGGAGATGCGCCTATAACTTCCCAAAAATCCACAGCCATTTCATGGTTGTCAGGGACCTGATGAATGCAGAGGAAGAAATGTAAGCATCAAACACAAATAAGTCAGAGTTGACCATCAAATGACACACAATAGCCACAGCATAAAATAACATTTTCACTAAAACATAATTTGTCATGTATGCGCAAAACAGAAATCTCACTCTCAGAGAAACAGAAACTTAAGGAAAGAAATGCCATTCATTTCACATTATATTTGAAAAATTCATCATCATCATCATCATCAATGCCGTTCACCCCTGGCAGGGTATAGGCCACATACAAGCTCCTTCCATTTATCTCTGTCCTGAGTCATCCTTCCAAGCTCGTTCCAAGTGAGCTTCATTTCTCTCGTTTCCATTTCCACGCATCTCCTCCATGTTTCCCGTGGCCTACCCCTGCCTCGTGCTCCTTGTGGGTTCCACTGCAGTGACTGTCTTGTGATGTTTCCGTTGGGCTTTCTTATTAAGTTGTGTTCAATCCATCGCCACTTTCTAAGTCCTATTTCTACTTCTATATCCTTTTGTCCTGTCCTTTCCCACAGCTCTTCATTTCTTATTCTATCCTGCCACTTAATTCTTAGAATACTCCTCATACATCTGTTGATGAAAGTCTGGACTTTATTCAGTACTGTCTTCGTTGTCTTCCAAGTTTCCCAGCCGTAGAGGAGCACAGACTTGACGTTGGAGTTAAAGAGTCGAATCTTGGTACGCTAGCTGACCCAAAGTCTACTTTATTTGAGCCAAAACTAATGTTCATTTCAAGAATATTTCACAAGTACATATACAATTTGTTAACGCTTTAAACTAAGAAATAAAAGACAATCCTGTTGCTGATATTTAGGCTACCTAGAAATATAGAAAAGACGTTCATTTATACAGGATTAATCATAACTATTGAACTAATAAAAAGCTTCATTTTCAAATATGGCACAGGGAAATTTATAAAGACTAAAATCTTGAAAACTGCACACATAAGGTTTTTGAAGACATGAATAGGACATAACAGAGACAATTTCATCAAGTGTTATCAACTCACTGTCTTCCCCTCTGACACTTGTGAAATTACTCCAAAGACACAAATGGCAGCCTCCGTGGCAAGAGTAAGGGCATCGTATGTCTGGCACTAATGACAGAAACAAAGACGTCGATTTTGTGAAAGAGAAGCACACCTACAAGATAACAACACTCCAGAGTTGGGAAAATGCAGGGCAGTCAGAAATAGATAATACGAACAGTATAAATGTAATACCAACTTGCATAGCTGACAATCATCCCCAAAAATTGAATGTGTTATATTCATTAATATTCACTACAAAAGGGTCAAATTTGGGCAGCGTCAGATAGTTTGGGAATTTTGAAATTTATGGTAAGAAAAATCATATTTACATAAAATTAGTCACCCAGTAATGGAGTTGAGAGAGACAGCAGATAGGGATGGGTACGATAGGAAAAAGGTAAAATAGAACAGCATTATGGCCAGAAGTAGAACAAGCAGTAGTGATAACCAGTAGTGCCAGAAATTAATGATTTGGACACACGCGAAAACTTCTTGTAAGATAATACTAGATCTAACATTTGTGCATAAAAAGATAAAATAGTATAATCACTATCACTGGCTAGCTTATATTAAAACATATCACTGCTTATAGGAAAATATTCACACAGCACAACATCAAATTTTGTTCTTTACAGAAAGGACATATCACAGGAATAATCAATAAATGTACAGATCGCGCACAAGTTTCACAGCTGCTGAGTCACAGCCTTATTTACCAGTTCACTTCACTTCTATAAATCTTTTTAAAAGACTTACCAGTTTATTCTTCATTACACATAGAAGAAACCCTGATCCGTCTCTTATTATCACAAACATGAGGCGCTTTCCTGAAAATGAGAAGCCCAATGCAATTGCTGAATATAAGTTACAGAATACATACAGTACAACAATATGTCTTTGGTGGAGTCATACAATTATGTAAATACTGATCAACATTTGTGGACTTGAAAATTTAAGCAAAAGTCACAAATGAAACAAGTAAAACATCACAGGCACAATCAAACCGTGCCTTTCACTGACATCTGGGTAAATAAAAAGTAGAGGTTTAAAAAGATGATATTTTTCAAAAGCTGTTGCTTATTCTTGCCTTTTCAGGGCAAAAGAAAAACATACCTAATTTTTAAGAGACTGGAGTCTAAAAGTTAGTTTTGATTCAAAAGAAAATTATAGACTATCAAAACAAAGAAATACACATGGCTAAATTAGGTCAGGAGAATAGAGAATACTTTTGAAAAATATGATACCAGGAAATAAATCATTAAAACTGAAAAATATACACATTCTGTATAAAATAGAATTAGTTTGTTTTTTTTTCAAACGAGAATTCAAATACTATTGCTGTAAATGTGCTGACCAACTATACACTAAGAGCCTTTGATTGTGACACGCAGTTTGACCTACATTATACGATGACTTGTCGACCAAAAACATCCCCTTCCTCTCACCTATTCTGCTAATTCGTTGCACCCACCCAAAGATCTTCACTCTCGTGCCTCGGGTCTTCACTGCATCCCTCAGTTTGATCTAAAAGATATCAAATGCATGGGCCATCAACATCAAACCTAACTAATTGGGTTATTCTCAGTTTCAGCAATTAACATCAACGACTTATTTCCACAGTTGAGTGAGAAACATAAACCTTATGAGAAATATACACTGAAATATTTTAAACAACAGAAAATTAAAACTCCAAAGACTGAAACCTCCTATTCATTTGTTACATCACCACACCCCTACCCATCCTTATCTGTAATCTCAAGTTAAAAGATTTCCATCCATGCATAGATCAAATAGAAAAAGAAAATCCAATCTGTATTTCAAAGGTGATTTTATTTGTAGCTGAGACTTAACGAGCAAGACAATGTTCTAAGAAGCAAAAAAGTCTCCTTTGTGTGTTTTAGTAAGAGGTTTACAGCATCTGAAACACAACTATGTCATTGTCATACAAGTGCCAAAGATTAGAGGTGTCAAGATAGTACCAAACACAAAAAAGAGGAGGGGACGTAAGGACGATAGATGTTTGATAGGAAAGAAGCAGCAAACCACGCTAGAGCACCTGCCAACCAACCACATTATTTCTTAGTTAAGCACACATGAAGGATGAATCCAACCAATAACTAGAAGATACAACTACACAGTCTGTTGTCATAACAAAACACCTACTTTTGTTGGCGCAGGCAGACTTGCATCATTCTCAATGGTGATCTTCTTGGCTGCCTCAATTGCTTTCTCTCTTCTCTCGGCATCTTTTCTCTGTCAATGAACATGTAACATATGCAGCGATCTGAAACATGACAACATTTTCTAGACAACCTAAATATTGCCTACCGAAGTAGTCTGTGGGGATAGAACTTGATTTTTTCCCTCTGAAAGATTTTTTCTACACCCACAGTCCTAACATGACAGAAAAGTGCTTTGTTACTGAAGTATTACTGAAGTATCCTGAAAGATCCAGAGAAGGAATTAACCAAAAACATGCTTTGCACGCTCCTTATGATTAGGCTGGAAAATTGAACCTTTCAGTTTGAACGTAATTCTTCATTAAAAAGCGATGTTAAATACATGTACTTAAAGTACCAATGAAAATACTTCTCACTAAACATTCTCCTGAATGAAAGTAACAAGCAAAACTGTTATAGTGTGCCCAAGGAGAAGTTTTAAGGGAACAAAATTCTTTTATAATGCACAGAATACACATCAGACAACCAACACAAAGGAGCCCACAAAACGTGATCTTTACTACCTAGTAATCTAAGACACACGAGACTCACAGATGCTTCATCCAAACTCGCTTTCTTGTACTGCTCTTTGTGCCAGATCTTCTGAACCCTCCTCAGCTGTGACTTGGCTACTGGGCCATAGACCTGAGAGAGAAAAACTATCCACGTAAACCAACTCAGGGCCCGCAGAAACAGTAGTACAAGGAAATATGTTATCTATCTCAAAGGAGCGCATTCCAAATCATGTAGATGAGAGTACAGAAACAAACAATCTTTGAATAAATACAGACGTCAACAAAAGTTAAGGACCACCTAGGAAGACAGTCTTGATTTGTAAAGAAATACGAAAAAAAGACAGCAAGGAATATTTCAAAATATTTGCACTGAAAATGTTAATGGGTTACCAATGGTTACTGCAAAGCCTCCTAAAGGACCAAAACCACCACGTGCAGCACGGAAATCTCGGGAAATTTTAGCCAAATTTGCTGTTTTTTATCGACTTGTGTGCGACACCACAGACATTCCTTAGAGGAATATCATTCAGTGTCAACAAGACTACATGTATGTGCCATCATTCATATCTGTTCCTTGTGTCCATTATTATTATTTCCCTTATTTTTCAATCATATTCATCTGCTTTATTTCTGTTCCGTTTCTGTCCCAGTCATGCATCGTCTGACGTATGTCTTCATTGTGCTTGATTATTTAAGTCCTCGTCAAGTCACAAATAGTGTTGACATTGATTGATTCCTCAGTTAAAATTTCTGGTACACGTCATAAACGGACGTACTGTCTCGAACTGTGCTCACGTTGGTGGCAATATAAGCCATCGTTTGCGCAAAATTCAGTATTGCATTAAAATACCACCACGGTGAAAGCTGAGAGACTTTGATCGTGCCAGAACTATGGCATGGCTGCAGGATGGTGTTAGAGCTCGAGAAGTTTTTTGCCAGAGCCTGCAGTGTCACACTCTGTCATTGTCCGCTTGAGGCATCGCCATCAAGCCACTGGATCAGTCCAAGAACGCCCACGTGAGGTCGACCCAAGAAGACCACTCAGTGTTTGCAAGTGGTCCTTAACTTATGTTGAAGTCTGTAGTCAACAAGAAAGTCAAAGTGCCTGATGTGAAGAATAAAAACTTCATGTCTTTTTCATACTACGAGCATAAGTTCCATTGCACACTTCAGATCGAACAGTTTTCACCAGATTAGTTTACATCAAACACTAACACATTTCCTCTGGAATTCTGAAGGGTTACACTAATCTTTAATATAGAAACGTTTACACAAATCTGAATGAACAAATAATTAGACAGCGATTATTGCTTTTTTTAAAATGTAGGTCTTTTTACAACCCCATTGACACAATATAGACCATTTAGAAGGCAAGATTCTGATTCTGCCTGTCAGGGTCAATTCAGGCTGAGAGTGATACAACATTCCAGCACAAAGACCGAGATAGATCTACTCGATAAAATTACTCCCCACTCAGGTATCTTTTCATCATATATTTATATAAATGACTATAAATCTCCGTCTCGCGGAAAAGCTTACAGCTCTTCCCACTTCTCATACACAATGTGCATACACATAATAATAATATATATGACACTTTTTAGTGGCAAAACTTGTGACAAGAAACTAATTTCACAGTGAACACATTCTTTGAATAAAGGTTCTCAAAACTTGTGTTCATTAAACATAATGTTGAGATTAGAAGAAAAAAAATGACAAACTTCCTTTTAAAAGCGATATTTTCCTAGCTGCAAACTTTTAAAAAAATCTGTAGAAACCACTCACTTGGATCGTTTATTAGTGGGCCTGTTTATTAAGAAATTTTATAGAATACGGCTCGTTGTGTTTACAAAAATATTGATCTGTTAAGACAAATTGATACAAGTCATTGTGCAAAAGCTTAAGAGTCTTGTTAGATAGTACGTAGTCTAAAACAGCCATATGCACTGCTCAATGCCGAAAGCTCCGTATGTCGGACTCTAGCGTGGAGATCATCAGTAGAGAATGCGTCGCCGTTTCGAGCTCTTCCTCTAAAGCTTTTTTGATGCACCGAGCCCGCTCACTGATGTGAAATCTCCTTGCTAGCCCGACTGTTTTTCTCTGCTGTAAACTCTTAGGATTAATTCCAGCCTGCGTCTGCCACTCTCATCCACTTTCGGACGCTTGTTGCTACGAAACCTCTGCATCCAACCTCAACTGGAAAGTGAATTGATTTCCAACCTGCCTCCTCACATTTTTCGACAAGCGCCTCGTATCGGTTTTCTTTCCGCTCATGTGCATTATATACGTTGTCTTCGTGAGGCACCGTGAGCTCCACCAGATGCACCTCTTTCTCTTTTTCCTCCCATAACACCAAGTCTGGCTTCTTTGTTGTTGGGATGGGGAAGAATCTCTCGCAGCCCATTAAGTCAGCAGCTTCCTCCCATGTGCCTCCGCTCTGGTCTTCCATGGCTTCGTTCGCTTTCTTTCTGTTGGGAACCTTACTTCCTTGCGGAACGAACACAATCTTGATTAGTCCATGCTTCTGTAGCTTGGGGGCGTATTTTCCTTCTTCCACCTGTTTTGTTGCCTTCGTGGTGAGCACTTTAAGCACCTCGTTTTTGTCTCCAAGCGTATCTGTTAAGAGCCAGGTTGTAGTTTGACGAAATGTGCTTCATGGTTCCTAGCTTACCCCATCTACACTTGTTAACCTCTTGTACCTTCTATCGGTTCACCGGTGAAGGCAAAACATCACACGTAGACGGGAGAAGAAAGCTTAGTCTAGATGTGTTCCACTTCCTGATGTCACTACAACCAACTTTTCTTTCGACTACATGCTCTTCCCATCTGGTCATTTGTCCTTGCTGGCTACACAGGATGAGACGAACTTCTCTCCTCTCAGCCTCCAACTTTCGCATAATATATGTCTTGATGCAGCTTTTCTTCTATCTCCTTGAGACATTTTCCTGAAAGGTCTGAAGTCTTACTTACTTGTCTTACCTGTCCACTGTGTTGGGGTCACTGCAGTCGGAACATGTCCATCTCTACTCTCCCGACCCCCCCCCCCCCCTCTTCAGGATCCATCCCAGAGTCTGTCTGCTTTTGTCTCCATCATAATCTGGTTGGAGATCCGTCGGACTAGTCCGCACAGGTGGCTGTGTTTCCTTTCTCCTCTTTGGATCCCCTTCTTCTCAAATCTACCTAGAGTATGGGACCTCTACCCGCCCTATTCTTCCTCAAATTTTCCCTTACAGCGGTTAGGACGGTTGGTGGGTCAGGTGTCAAATTCCCTCCCACTTTTGCTTCTCCAGCCAGCTTGTCTGCTCTCTCGTTGCCGGTTACCCCCGCGTGGCCGGGTAGAAGATCCAGGCCACTCTTTCCAGGCTGCTCTCCCTGATCGAAGCCTTCCAGTCCTCATACAGCATCCCTTTCTGTATCTTCTGTAGTGTGGTCATAGAGTCAGTAATGATTACTGCTCGCTGATGGCTTGTGTTCTTGATCCAGTGTAGAGCCTCACTTAGGGCTTTATCTCCATACACATACTTGATGTTGTCAGTGCAGTTGCTCTACTTTGCTCTTTCACTATTACCCCATCAACTCTGACACTGAAGGCCCAGCCCCATTTGACTCCTCTGTTGACTGATCCATCCATGAAGATCACAGCATCTCCATGTTCACTATGCTCTTCTGTCAGGGTTTCAATTTCAGCGTTTGTAGCTCCAAGTGGCCAGTTGGGACATTCTCTACCCAATGTTGCCTTCACTGTTGTGTACTCTCCGAGCGAATCATCGACCACGACCCAATCCCTGCGTCTCCTGATTTCTTGTATCTGGCAGCACTCGTTGATTGTGTTCGTGGCTTGAGTCATCCATTCTGTGCCCATCTTTAGCCTTGATGTCATCTGCCGTCCCACTTTCTTATGTAGAGGGTTCATCTCGTCTGCGCTGACTCGCAAGAAAGGCTTGGACTTGTGCCAGTTTGTGCCTCTCGTCTGCACATGGGAAGCATAGGAAGTATCTCACTGCTTTAGCTGAGGTGTCTCGTGTGCACCCTAGGATTGCCTTCATTCCTTTATTTTGTGTCGTTGCAGCTGCGCCTTTGATAGAGCCAAGAGTCCGAGCCCGTACTCTACGACAGAGAGTACCAGTGTCTAGTAGAGGATGACAAGGATGTTCTTAGCTCTGGCCATCATTTTAAGGGCTGTTAGGCTTTTTCTCGCCCTGGAGATTGTTCTCGTAATGTGATCTTTGCCAGTGATGCCCAAGTATTTCAGTGTGGGTTCCTTCTTCAGCACTTTGCCTCCAGTCGAGATACTTGGCATGTCATCGTGCACTGCATGGTTATTCAGTGTGCACCACAGTGCACAGGCTTTGTCTGGTGAAGTTTCCCGTTGTTCGCTTCACACCACTGTTCAAGTCTGTCGAGTTCTTCCTGTTCTCTCTCTCGCCATTACCCAGCCCCAATCTGTCAGGTTGTGCTGGACCGACAATGCAAAGATGATCTCATCAGTTGAAACTTCTGCCTTCCACTTTCTCTCTGTTTTGACATCTGGAGGTTGGCCGCTAATCTCATGATCTTTTGATTCTCTCAGCATCATTACAGTTTTAATCTTGCCTGCTTTGTAGATCTTCACGATTGACGTGAGAGGTTGTTGAAGCGCACCTCTCTGTCCGTATTGGGATGACATGTTGATGGTGTGGGGTAGCCCAAGCCACTTCCTGGTGTAGCTGTTTCGCGTTCTTTCAATCATCTCAACTCTCGACAGAGCAACTTCATACATTGTCAGTGGCCACGCCAATCGAGGGTAGATGGCAAACTGTAGACACCATATCTTATGATTTCCCGGAAGCTTTGTCTGGTTAGTTTCTTTCAGCCCAACTTCAGCCTGCTTCATGATTACCACACCTGGACTTTTATCAGACAGAGTTTAAGAAATATTTAACAATAAGTTGCGCCACGAATAAGTATCTGCATAGTTTGCTTTTTGGAATGTTCCTGTGTCCAATCTTCCTTCACGTGTAAGCACGCTCCCTAACTATTTAAATTCTTCATCTTGTTTAAGCTGTGTCCCGTAGATGGTAAGGTTTAGTAGGACTGAGTTCCAATGATCACATGATCCGTGCATGCATGTCTTGACCAAAGTTGAGCAGGAATAATCTTTAGAAGAGCACAATGCCAAAATAATGCGTCAGCGATCAACTCTGGGTTATCACAAATCCTGTGTAAACACAAGTGTTTCGATCTGATTCAGTGGAACGCTTAACCTTAAATGACTTCCGTCGCCAAAAGCTTGTAAAACAAATGTTTGAACTGCTCTCATATAGGTACTGTCGGTACAGATGTTCTAAGCTGTCATCCAACAAAGGTTTCTGAGTCTTTTAAAATGTTTTTTAAGGTAACAACATTTTTTTAACCGTTCAAAATTCTCCAGTTGTCAGGCCAAGGAAAAAAACATCTTGAATATGCCCTTTTCCATTTGCAGAGTTGAAAGCACTTTCTTCTTCAGTTTCCCTTTGTTCTTTGTGTTGAGAGTTCTACAAAATTTGCCCTGATTTTGTGCTTTCTTAATATTATTTCTCTGGAAGCCAACATTCGAATACTTTTCTCTTTTTTTCTTGTATCAGTATTTCAATTCATCCATGAGAGCAGAAAGAAATTTCATTTTTCTGTTCACTGCCCTCTTGCTTTCAGCTCACAGGTCAGACACCATAAGATTTTTATTTTCAACTTGAATTTTTTCTTTTTCTCTTTACTGTTGCCATTGTAAGTTTACATTTTAGCCTAGAAAATAAACACACTTGAGGATGGGGTACCGGGTGTTTTGTCATGAGCACTGCTTCCTCAGATGTGTGTCTCTTCGTTCCATTATCCTTTTCCTGTCTTCTTTGTCTTTGATGCAGTTCTGCTTTTCCTATTGCATGAAGTGCAGTCTCTTCACTGGGTTCTTGCTTCGCCGCTCTCTGTCTCTTCACTATAACTTCTTTTTTTTTCAACAGGGGTCAGCTTTGCCTGGGGGTGAAAATAGCAAATGTTTATTAAAAGTCTCGTGTTAGAAATCAACTATCAATAGGACCTACCCTCCATATAATTAATCTAGATCTAGCATAAGTGGTGTAGTGCTGAAGTCAACCAAGCCTAGCTGATTTTCTGCAAAGAAGATTCTTATTTCTTATTTCAGTCTATATCTAAGTCTCTGCAACAACACGAAATGCACGTCTTAATCTGAACTAGATAAAATCTCTAGATCTAGACCGACGTAGAACTAATTAGTGAAAATGGTGAAATGGTGTAGGTTTAACGTCCCTATAGGGTTGCTCAATTGTGGGAGAGAACAAGCCAAAGGCCAGTAAAGGAAGATATTCAGGTGAAGAAATGGAAATGAATTGGACACACCCTGAGGAGACCCCCGACAAGCATCATCAGGCAGGCTTTAACGTGGAACCCACAAGGAAAGCGTAAGAAGGGAAGACCAAAGATGACATGGAGGCGAGCGGTACAAGCGGAAATTGAAAAAGCGGGGACATCATGGAAACAGATAGAAAAGGATGCTTAGGACAGGCTTCGCTGGAGTAATGTTTTTGATGGCCTGTGCTCCACTGGGAGTTAAAAAAGGCAAGAGAGATAGGGTTTTTGGGGGGAATGGAGCCAAATTGAAAATTCGTGAAAAGGGCCCTTCTCAAGGACACAACGTCAGACCGAGCTGAGGCTCTATTCCCAAAACCCGCAATCTCACGATTACATGCATACTACTCAAAACAAGTTAGGGACCACTACGGTTTTCACTATAGTATGATTGAGACTGTGGGACAAACAAGTATTGAGACGTTAAGTGAGTGAGTTGATGGCATTGTAAGGTTTAATTTACGGGTGAAAGGGGGCCAATTTTCTGTAAAATTGACCCGGTTTTTCACAATCACTCAGGTGATTTTCAGTGAGTGGTATAGGTTAAAAACCAATTCAGGGTAATCCACACTTCCTACACTAATGCCTGAGTGGGTTTAACGGTGCTAGGGGTATTTACTGCGGGCACATTAAGCGATTTTTAACAATGCTTTCAAGAAGACGTCTAAGCAACATCGACAGGGGACGAGCCCTAGCTTGGCTCCACGAAGGGATTGCTGTCCTCGAAGTGGCAAGGCGGCTTGCTGTGAGTCATTCAGTGATCATCAGACAGAGAGACCGGGTTGCTGCAGCTGGAACTGCTGTTGAACGAAGGCGGTCCGGACGGCCACGTTACACCACATGACGAGAGGACCGGGCGATCCCTAGGAACAGCCCTGGAAACTCGAACCTGCACTGCCCGTCACATCAGACAGCAGGTGGCACCCCCAGGCAACGTTGGAATCAGCGACAAGACCATTAGAAACCGGCTGCGTGAGATTGGTCTACGCTCCAGACGACCAGCAGTCCGGGTCCCACCGACACAATGTCAAGCCCACCGGATTGCCTGCAGAACCTGGTCCGCCCAGCATCTGAGGTGAACACGCCCGCAATGGTCTACTGTGCTCTTCACGGATGAGTCCAGGTTAACATTGTTTTTCAAAGATGGCAGGAGCTGTGTTTGGAGGCGTCCTGGTGAGCGCTTCCACGACGACTGTGTACAGGAGCATGACAGGTATGGAGGAGGCTCCGTTGTGGTGTGGGGTGGGATTGGAATCATACCACCGGACCCTCCTGCATCGCATTCAAGGCACTCTGATCGGTATCCGCTGGAGGGACAAGATTCTCCGCCCCATTGCAATTTCATCTCTTCGGGCAATGTGCCAGGGCGCGATACTCCAGGATGACAACGCCAGACCTCACCGCGCTCGAGTGGTGGATGACTTCCTGCAGCAGCAGCACGTGATCAGGCTTGACTGGCCAGCCCGATCACCGAACCTTAGTCCTATTGAACACGCGTGGGATGCTCTTGGGCGCCGAGTAAGAGACCACCAGTCACCCCCCATACAATGACTGTTTTCTTACAAATGGTGTCCACACGCGATTTGGAGCCCTCATTGTTTATGATGGTTGTGATATGAATTTTAAAAACATGGGTTACCTCCTTCAACATCTGAAATTACCCATTTTCCATTTTAAATGTGTATAATGTCGTTTGCAAAAGGTGATATGATGAATAAAGACCCCTCCAAAACAATTTTGAACCGTGTCATGTTTTTCAGGATTATGTACTATGTGTGACTTAAAGTGGTCCTTAACTTTTTTGGAGTAGTATATTTAGAACCGAGACCACCCTATTTAGTTGGGCGGTAACGCTTAGTACTCTTTGATAACATATAGATATATCTACATAGAAGGTTCTGGACTTTGGTAGAACAAAAGTAGGTTGCATTATTACCATCATCGACGTGGAAAAAAGGAATGTTTTGTCTTTCATTTTACTCTATTGTTCCCTCACTATTACTCTCAATTTCATCATGTTACCTAAATTATAGAATCACACCTCAGGAGTTCTGTTGAAAAAATACAGACACATCTTTCATATACATGTAATAAATATTATGTTTTGTTAGTCAATTAAGTATAAAGTACCCACTTTCAACCCGAACGTTGGTCAGTTGAGCTACATTCCTTCCCGTTATCTTATGTTCTCTCCTGTTACTCTCAATTCTGTCATCTTACCCGAAATATAAATTACAATTCAGGTGTGTTGTTGAAAAAGCACAAACATGCCTTACGTTTAAACCTCTTTCGTTTACTCCAGTTAGCCTGGCACATTCTTTCCAAAACTGTTTTCAATTAATTAAGTTATGGAGTACATCACCTTCTCTCGTGTTACTTTTTATCCTCTCCTGTAACCAAAACCCGGGTAACAGCAGGGAAAGTAACAGGATGGAATTCTGTACCTCTTACCCTGACGACCACTAACGGGGTAGAGCTCTTGGTTTGTTTTACCATTGAAATTAAACAATGGCAGACCTCCTAATCAAAAGAGAGAGTATCAGATTTCTGTATATTAAGTCGTTTTACACCCTGGTAACAGGAGGGAAATAGCATAAGTTCAAATACTCACCACGTTGTGTTGAGCTTGGCTCTGTATCTTTCAACCGTGCATTGCATAAGCTCAGCTGTCTCGTGTCATAAAGGAACAGCAAGGGAGTCTTCACTCACAAAATCTCAAATAAAATAAATCTAGATCTAGGGAACATCCATCTGTGTGAAATGCTGAATAATAGGAGAGAAGTTTGAAATGGGTCAAACAAAATGTGGAGATAAAGCGATCAATAACAAATAATAATAAGAAAAGGACGGGCATCTAGTTTGTTGTTGTTGTTGATGTTGTTGTTGTTGTTGTTGTTTGTTTTTGTTTTTTGGGGGGTGGGGACTTCGGTATTGCTATCCAATACTCTATACAATTGTGAAATATTTAATCCCTGACTCCAAGACATTTATCTCTGTGCATGTTTTTAAAAGAAATATCTGTGTTGAAGATTTTGCCGTTTTTGCTTACAGAGCAAGATTTGCCTAAGAACTGTAAAAGCTCTATGACTTTGGCAGTTTTGAAAACCTAATTTTAAGGTCAAGGAACGTTTTACCCTATTCAAGAACATAGAGTCAATGACAATTCTATGCAATATTTCATATTTGTTTCAAAGGTCTGGAATCGTAAATTTTAAAAATGTGCCCTTTTTAAAAATGACTTAGCAATGCTCATAGTCAGATTGGTCGCTGTTAAGGACAAGCGGACTAACCCAGATTTCGGGGATTTCCAGAAATCTTGACCTATTCCAAAAGTGGGCAATGCCACTTGAAGAAGTTCAGTTTCATTGGTGTGTATATTTGTTTGGTAGAGAAAACTCTCCTTGTCTTTTAAAGAAACTAAACAAAGGGCAAAACCTTTATCTTCGATTTTTTCAAAACAGCATTTTTCGAGATAAACCCTTTGTGCTTAAAAGCGACCAAGTAAACAAACCATACCCTGCATGACAAAAGCTGTCCTACCTGCTCTGGATTTTTTGAGTCCCAGTAAATCAAAGGAAATGGTTCTTGTCCTGCCTTTCTCATTGCCTGGGGAGAGGGGGGTGTACAAGATAAACAAATGAACACGTTTAAAGACAAGATGCTACATGTTTACAACAATGTTTCAATCCAAACTCAAATGTATTAAAAAAGCATACTACACACACACACACATATATATATATATTTATATATATATATATATATATATATATATATATATATATATATATATATATATTATATATATATATGTGTGTGTGTGTGTGTGTGTGTGTATGTGTGTGTGTGTGTGTGTGTGTGTGTGTGTGTGTGTGTGTGTGAGTATGTGTGTGTATTTTAATGCAGGTGTTAATCCTTTTAGCAACATAGTAGAGCAAAATTGGCTTACAGGATCGTGGTTTGCCGTCTTTTCTACAAGCCACAGTTAAACTGAACATAATCAAATGCAAAGTCAAAGCTGTTTTTACTTAAATGAATCCAGTCCTGCAAAAAACGGAACCCCCTACCGCACCGGAGAACAGGAAGCTATGTTTACTCATGTTCTTGAGCCGTCCCCATGGTTTATCTAGCAAATCATGACTGAGTATTGTTGATGGGGCCATAAAACATGAACTCAATCGTGGAGATTGTTTTAAATTATCAGAAAGAGGAAGAAAAGAAACTAGAATTCTTTTTAGAATATCACTCTGAAGAAACTAAAGTGGTTTCTTCCTGAATGTACAATACTTGGAAGCAGTCATAAGTATACGTATTGGATGATGTATGCTGTTCAAAATCAAAACAATTATTCAGTTATCTTTCTCTTGACGCAGTTTAAACATGATTGTCGTAAAGTGTCAAACTCATCAACAACTTGTAGAGTGGTAATAATATTCTGAGGCTCTTCTCAATGCTAATGGAGCAAACTCAACAACTCACGTCTGAACGTGCAGAAACTTATGTAAGCGTATTTATCATGCAGAGGTGCAAAAGCAACACTGATGCAAACTTTATATTGGGGTAGTGAACAGTGGTGGAGATAATGTCAACAGTGAGGGGCATGCCGGTCTGTGCTGCAAAAACAACTTGTTGTTTATATTACTCTGTGCCATATTGTGAATGTTGATGAAGACCTTGCATTAGCAAATTATAGCAAGTCTGCAGCTTGGTCTCGCCTATAACCTCTCAAAAAGTTTTACAGAATGAAGTGTGCTTTCAGGAGAAGTGGGTGTACCTTATAAAGTAATGAATCCACCCACAAACAATAGCATACATTTGAGCACAGCATGCTTTCACGTAGCATTAGCCCAGGCAGAGATTACGGTACCCGTATTCAGAAGGTCACTTTACCTGAAGAACAGTTCTCAGCGGATTGTCTTTGGTTCCATCTCCTGTTTCGTCATCTCCTTTATACTTGGATGTGTATATTTCCGCTGAAAATAGAATAAATAATTGTATTTGCAGAATATATATTTCTAAAGTACTTTGTATGAACTTTAAGATATAGACTCTAGTTCAAGATATTATGTTCATCATTAGAGGATGAAGTGATGCCAGTTACATAATAAAAGTCAGAGACATACGAAAAAAAATACTGACACAATAACAAATCAAGATTTTATTCCTGCACACTCAAAATATATTTGTTTTAAAAAGAAGATGACCACTTTATATTACCACTATACACTCTAATGGTACAGGTACCCAAATGTCTATGTCCACTACTTTTGAAACAAACTCATTCCCCAGCAAATGATCAAGATCAAGCATCTTGATTACGTAGATCATGTACTGACTAACAAAAAGAAAGCCTCTCTTTTACTCATATCACACACAATGAGAGTTAAAAATCATTATTAAGCTCCACTATTTTTTTTCTTTCTTGTCATATCGTGGCCTGGAACCGAAGTTATGGAATATCACATCCACAGTCAAAAGATACTATATGTAGCAAGACCATATGCATAAGGCATGTACCGTAGCATTATGTGACTTTACTAAATCTTAGCTGATGACCTTAAACTGCGAGTTGGAATGTACAGTCTTAACAGATTTGATAAATATGATTGTGCATTATCATTCAAACATTAAGTCTTTTAACTTTCTCCAATGATGTTCCTGATAACTTCTTCTTCTTCTTCTATCCCGTGGTTGGGGCAACCGTTGGGGCACCACTGCATTTGAAAACCAGCTCTCGCCATCAATTTTTGTCCTTTGCTCTCCTCAGATTGTCACCCATCATCATTCCTGTCCACTCTGTAATGTTGTCCTCCCATCTCCTTCTCTGCCTTCCTCTCTTTCTCTTTCCTTGTACGGTTCCTTGCAGGATTGTTTTGGCAAGTCCTGTGGATCTTGTGACATGCCCGTACCATTTTAGTTTTCGTCTCTTCACTGTGGTCAGTAGATCTTCATATTGCCCCACTGCGTTGGTGATTCTCTTTCGTACTTCAGCATTTGAAACGTGGTCTTTGATAAAAATTAAGCTAGTTACTAGTAAAGCAATATACTTAGTATTGATCAGATGACGTATTTTACTAATTTTTCTTATTTCTAAATACATGCAGTTGTTCAGATGATTTACCTCAGCCGACATTGACAAACTGGAATCAAAATAGATGCCAAGATTCTTAACTTTTCTTGAAAATGCAATGTTCGCATCACCAAATGTCATGTGATCGTGGTCAACCTCCTTAGCAGACTTTGCATTGCCTGCCAGAATGACTTCTGTTTTATCATCGTTCAACATCGATTTGTTTTTGTTCATCCAGGTTTTCACCAAGGCAATACAATTTTCAGCACGATGGACAAGTTCGTCTTAGTTGGTAAACGATGTTGAACCATAAATTTGGGTATCCTCAACGTAGAAATGATACTTTAAGCCATACTTAACTATTTCCTTGACAAGTGGTTGAGTATAAGTGGTGAACAAAACTGGACAGAGGACTGAGCCCAGGGGGGGGGGCATACTTAAGAGCATGATTTGGTGACTTAAGCCCTTTAATAACAACAGATTGGTATCGATTTGACAGGTAAGAACAAAACCAGCTAAGGGCAGTCCCGACACTTCCAATCGCTTCAATAAGATATGATGGTCAATTGTATCGAAAGCTGCTGATAGATCTAAAAGGCTCAGCAAAACAACTTTTCCTGAATCACAGTCAGTAAGCTTGTCATTCATGACTTTGAGAAGTGCTGTTTCTGTGCTGTGGTTAGCTCGATAGGCAGACTGGAATGGCTCTAACAAATTGTTCTCTTGTAAGTGATGACGAAGCTGCTCGGGGACAACCTTTCAGGGATTTTAGACAGCAACGGTAGATTTGAATCAGGTCTATAGTTCTATAAGACATTCTGATCTCAGTTTTGTTTCTTTAGCAAAGGTGTTACAAGAGCGATTTTAAACGAATCTGGTACTGATCCACATACTAGAGAATTATTTATGATTTTAGTAATAAATGGGATCAGTCCCGATCAGTTCGTCAATGCAGGAAGACAACAGAGAACTAGGAACTGGGTCGAGATCACAATGTTTGGAATTTTCCAATTTAGAAACATATTATTTCTTTTTAGCACATTTAGTTTCAAATTTCAGCTCTTGCTTCTTAAATCTAAAGATGTGCTTGTGGAAGGTGGGCCCTGTTTTAAGCCATTGTCGCTGTGCCTTCCAACATTCGATTTTGGCCGCTTTCACCTCAACCGCGAACCATGGTGCATACGGTGTAGTCGACAGACGACGAGTTACAAGTGGTGCGTGCTAGTCAAGAACTGCCCTAACAGTGGAATTATACAAATTTACATAGACTGTTTTAAGGTTACTGAAAGATTTCAAGTACAGCGCAGAGAGAGAGAGAGAGAGAGAGAGAGAGAGAGAGAGAGAGAGAGAGAGAGAGTAAAAATAACAACAAAAAACTTGCTTCCAGACTCACTAAAATTAAAACACAAAAACCAGGCTCATGCAGGAAACAGTTCTAGTTTCTTTTCCGGCAAGACACATCAGGCAAATCAAAATTTGTTTCATTTCCCACAGATGGCTTTCTCTGTCTGATGAGTTACACTCAACATATTGGGTGGTTTATTGTTTTCAAGTCAGCATCGGTCTCACAAAATAAAAGTTGTATTGCTGAAACATCTCTCTTTATCGTGACATGATATTAGTACATGTAGTGATATTCATACTGCCTTCTTCACCCAAAACAGAAACTTAAACCCATCTTATGATGGAAGACTCACTAACCAACGATATAGAATTGTTAACACCAGGCACCAATGCTCAGAAAAATCTCTTTAAATGAATTTAAAAACTAAAATTTAGCCTATGCTGGCAAATTTACAAAAACCCAGCGCTAGGGCTGAAGAAAGGATGAGACAGAGGAAACATCTATTCAGCTTCAGCTACAGTTCGGAATTCATCCTCTGTCACAGCTAAATTTCTCTAAATTGCCCTAGCAACCAAACAATACTGTAAGTTACGCCAAACGATAACAATAGATCTAGGCCTAATTAATACTCTTATTGGACTAAAGTATACACAAGCTCACAAACATTCATTCAAGTCCAAAGTTCTCTGACACAAATTTCAAGCTGTGCCTGGTATAAATTAATCTTAGTGTTATGTTTTATGTTTATTCTTCGATAAGGCAAGGCCTAAGTGGGAAAACACAAAGTCGGCTGATTTCTGTCACCTAACCAATATCATGCGCCGTACTCTTAGGTATCGAGTAAGCACACACCCCACCCCCACCCCGCTTACCCCCGCTTGAGTATTATTTTCAAGCTTGCCACGGCTGACAATCATGTGAAACATTATAATGTCTAGAATCTAGGTATCTGAATGAAATTTCTTTTTTCTTTTTGTAAAATGGCAAATTACCCTCAGTATAAGTACCGGTACCAGGTTGACTACCTCAATTTTCTGTGCATTTTAAAAACGGTTGTACATTGATTTATACTTTTTAATGAAACTGGTTTGTTCCTAAATGGGAAAAGTTGCCACAGTAACTTACTAAAATCACAAAGAATGTCATGATCTCTTGTTCTTTTATTCACTAAAGGAAAAACTAGTACAGGGGCATGAGGTTGAATGTGTAACACCCCCCC